GAGAGATTTCTGTAGTAAAGAACTAGTGACCTTGTTGCGTACACGTGGTACTGGGAATTTCATGATCGAGTGTATCTTATATTGAACAAAATAAAGAAAGAGTGACGGACTTAAGCTGAAAGTTGTGACCTATCTTTTTGGTTAATTTAGTTTCTAATTTTTATTTAATGTCCATTAAATATCGGTTGGACATGATTTTCTTTCCAAGAAGTGATATGGTAGCTAGCCTAGGTTTGTGATCCAAGAGAGAGCAAAATCCAATACTAGTTTATACCAAGAGTAAGGTTATTGCACGCATGATGTCCAAGATTGTCTGTAGGAGTGATAATGACCTAAGTAGCCCACAAATGGCGGAAGATCCTACAGATGTTGAGTAATCATATCAACTCTCTATGGTTGGAACGGTAAAGGTCTAATTAACTATAGATGGAGGAAGATTTTACAGATATTGAGTACTCATGTATTCTCTCCGGGGTTGTTAGTTCAGACCAAGCTAGCAAAAGGCCCATAGTTTCTTGGATGATTGAACTGTAAACACAAATGAACAACGTGACTGTCAGAATTGTCATACGTGAGTATAGTCCCATACGAGAAAATGTTAAGGAAAAAAGTTACTGAGTTTAAATAGAAAGTTTGGTGCGGCTTTTCTAATGTCTATTTAACGGCCGACCAACTTTAAATGACGCCAAATTTTCACCCCGATCGAGCATGTTCGTCACAAGTCCTCATATAGATTAATCACACCAAATCAAATTTCAAACATTACGGACTCGAAACATTATAAAATTACCGCACTCGTTCATCTAATTAGTACCCATCACAAGAACAGAGATTTGAACCGACAACCCTATCCGATCTTTAATTCTTCATGATTAGTCAATTGCTTACATCAATCTTCCTAATTACGTGTCACGTAATCCTTATTATCAGCCAATATTTAATCAGAAGTCATTTTGGTACGCCTACATGTTGATAGCACAATGACTTTATGTTTCATTCTGCATCCTAAACGTTACTGTCGATCGTCATCCGACCTTTTTCGGTGATAAAGCACGGAAGTTGTTTTCTCCTTGGGAATTTATAAAACGTAAATATGTGTACGTACGTAGTTCATTCTTGACTGTGGCCAATTAAAATTAATGCTCGTTGCTAAAAGAGGCAACGCGCGCCGTAGGAACGTTTACACTTAACCTCAAATTCTTTCCATTTTGCACCGATCGAATAAGTCCTCGTATATTGTCAATTTCGCATGAAACTATCACAAGCTTCGTGTGGAAGAAAACTACCAGCTAGCGTTGTCTTGCTGTAGTTTTAGACGACTGATTGATTAGTTAGTCAATCCAATTATTCCGAGTCTTTGGACAGTTGAAAAACTCAAAACTAGATCACGCCGGGGGCTGATCCTGAAACTTCGACGATTATCGGGGGCGAGGCAAGAAATTTTACAAGTATAATTAATTACTAGATAATATTTTACTTAAATTTTAATGGGACCAAAACCAAATAAAAACATATACAATTTAGTATTTACGAACAGAATATAGTCAATAGAAATGCGGTAGTACGATTCGTTATGACTGTCCCCTCTGTCTTTTCATATTTTTGATAATATTATACGATTTTCTGATTGGTCTATGCAACTCACAGGTGAAGCCTTCTTGCGATTTAAATAGAAATTTTCAAAATTGGGGCAGTTCACGATTTAACAGAAACGGGCTGTAAGCCCGTGAGCGAAGAGAAATCAGAATTGAGAAGCGATGGGCTTTTAGATTTTGTGTAAAAGGTTTCGAGTAAACAGATAAAATTTGACAGGCCCATTTGAAAAATATGTCTGGAGTCAGGGGCCGCAATTGTCCCCACTGTAAACATGCCACTGGACGACACCTTTTGGTTCTAATTTGAATGTTAAAATTTATCTTGTTTCCATACTCTTTAATTACTGTTTGCAACGTTATTTCGGAATTAATTTTCTTCGTACACGAATTACTTGTCAGATTTGATAAGTTCGTGTCCCGCACATGAGAGTAACTACGTTGGAGAAAAGAGAGGTGATATATATTGCCATCTTTGATCACTTTCTTCATCAAAATTGAGCTTCATCGCAGGAATTTTATTAAAGCCCGCCTGACCCTCCAATTGCAAACCCAATATTTTAATTGCTCTAAATCGAGCCCACATCTTAAGCCCATCAAAGAGGTCCGTCCTGATCACAGCCCACTGTGAATCAGCCGTGAGGTTGACAAGGCCGCAGCACGTCAGACGGTCAGACCCCATTAGGACCACACTTCGCAGCTTGACACCCCCTAAGGATGAAATTCTGTTGACCATTCTACCCCCAGAGAGATTCATTAGTTCACTTCCTATTTATCATTGACGGACTTGGTGTTCATAAATGCGAAGGAGTTTCAAAGAGGAAACACCGCATGGCCCATGGCTTTGGCCCAGCTAAAACTAGAGGCATCAAGCACGCACTTAAGACTCAACTGATACGGGCTAACATTTCCTCCAACTCTCTTCATCATGAGGGTATTAATCTCGCATATCATTTGCATTATTGTTCAAGCTCGTGGTAATTTTTAATACGTTGTAAAATCTGTAAAATATATAAGAACATATATAGCCGCATGAAATGACAAGTATCAATAACTGTAGGTCTATTCATGAGGTTTGACTAATAAGTGGAAAATATGTAGGGCTGGTTTATGGAAAGCTACGGCGTACGGCTTTCTTCATTTAAGGAGGTGGAGGAGGAGAAGAAGGAAATAGGAAATAGTTGGAAAACGAAAGAAAAACTGCCATAACTGTCACCTAATTAGTGATGTCACCTGCTACTAGTATACTACTGAACTAGAGAACACGAAAAATTTTCATCTGCATTTAGCCACGCAAATATTGAGCATAGAAGCTTAATTAGTAATGTTTCTCCTCCTAGTTTGTTTCGAGATTATCGATAATAGAGAGGGAATTCAACACTATCATGCACATTGTCCTGTCACTTGATTTCTAGTGAAAGTGAAAAAAAAAAAAAAAGAATGTATAAATTGGTTATAAATAAATAAATATTTGCATTGCGGAGATAAACTACGTACAGGATAGTTAACCCAAGCAAGTTAGCATCATAGTTTGCCGTTCTGTAACTGATGAACATATATATTGCTATCTCTGGCCGGGTAAAATGATGGAAGCCCAAGAAATTGGGCACGTCGACGTCCTTGATTATGTTTCTTGTTTCTCTTGAGAAGTCAAAAAGGAGGGGCTCGCTAATATCTTGAAACTAGGAAGCAATTTTCTTTTTTTAATTTGTTTTGAAAAACCCAGCTCGATCCCACTAGCATCAAAAGAACACAACACCCAGAACTTTGCTTCCCCCTTACCCCTCTCTCTTCTCCCCACTTCAATTAGCAAGCTTTGAGATCAGCCAAAAGAGATCCACATCCAAATCTATTTGGCCTCCCAAGGTTATGGGGTCAACAAAAGACCATTTTAATTTAGTCAATCTATGGGGTCAACATCAAAGATAAAACCATATATATTAATTAAAATGATTTAGCTAATTAGCTTTAAAAATAGTACATGCATCAATGACCAAAACAAGTTCTATGGGGTCGACATATATCAAAAGATAAAACCATATTAATTAAAATGATTTAGCTAATTAACTTTCACTAGTACATATATCAATGACCAAAACAGGTTCTAATGAACCCTACCCCTCAACATTAGACCTCAACGAACCTACCTACAAATAGACCATTATAACAAAATAGAAAAAGATACCAAGAACAAGAGAAATACAATGGCAGATCCGTGCAAATATCACATGAGCAGGCTCCTGATAATGGCAGCTTGAGCAGTGTCCGACGTCTCAAGCAACTCTGACAACCTCTCGCTCAAGTCATCGACTTCCCGATGAAGGCTCCTAATGTAGCTGCAAGTTTCCTGCAAAACCCTAGAAGCTGATGCCTGCAGAAGGCAAATTCAGCCCAAAAACCCTTGTTAGCCTGCATATCATCAATAACATATGAGCAGACCAAAATTTTGAACTAGCTAGGTAAATGAGGACCGACCCTATCGGTTCTTCGAGCTTGAGTCTCGGGGAGTAGGGATTGCAACTTGGAGACTAGATCGGCGATTTGGTCGTCTGTGATTCTTGAAGAGCTTGATTGCCTTGATCTTGACCTACGGCTCGACATTTTTGCTTGAGGTTGAGTTGTGGAGGAGGTGTAAGTAAGGGCGAGTATAAATAGGGGAGGGAGGGAGGACAAGAGCTTGTGATAAGAAGTGAGTCAAAGGGACAAGAGTGGTGTCTTTGTGATGAGGAGAAAAGAGGGTGAAATGTGTTGAAGAGACAAGGAGAGGGGATTAATGGAGGAGGGAGAGAGAGTGAGAGCTAAAGAGGAATGGAGGAACAAGGACACAAGAGATGTTGATGAGGAGGAAGACAAGGTGCATGGGAGAAGCAAATGAGGGGTGGTGTTGTATTTAAATACTAGTGTGTACTGTTAACGAGAGGGTGTGTGTAGTGTGTTTGAGAGAGAGAGAGAGAGAGAGAGAGAGAGAGAGAAATGTGTTAGAGAGAGTGTGTTGAAGGGAGTAACAACAATATAAAACTACCCCTCAAGTTATTAACTTTGAGAAAAATACTCCTAAATCAAGTTAATCAATAGCATCAATAAGCGAATTTGTAATTGTAATATTAAAAACCGTCAACAAATAACTATACTCATCAAGTTAGTTAATGATTTGTTAATTTTAGGATTGTTTTTTCCTCAAAAGTTTGAGGATTTGAGAGGTATTGCAAACAACCATGATTCAAGGAGTACATGCGCAAATAACCTTTTTATTTATAGTTAAAACCACCCAACTCCTATACCTATATATGATAGGATTTGTATTCGTATTAAGTGGTCTCAATTTGTTATATATTGATTAATGGTGCATTGGAGACCGTCAATTCTAGAATAAATACTTCTTAATACAATACTAATACAAGGGATCAAAATCATTTGNTCACGCGTAGGGATACGCCTTACTGTCTCACCTCATATGTGTCTGCAAGTGGGGGCTTAGAATTAAAAACAAGAAAAAACTAGAAATGTGAAAATTAAAAAATAAAAGAAAATGAGAAAATTAATCCGGAGCTGGGGTAGGGCTTTAACTTGTGGAGATGACTTGTTTCAGTTTTTTGTTGGAGGGGATTGTGTCAGATGTAACACGCTGCCGTGCTGTGCTCCCAATTTAATATTTGTCTCATGCCACCCTCCTCTATTTCTATTTTGCTTTTACCCATCAAGAATGGTAAATAATTCTAAACTCAAAACACTATAAGTGCCTTTTGGCAGTAAAAATTTGAGAGAAGCATATGAGATACAAAAATGATTATAATCAAATGTTAGGTGGTCATAAGCATATTCTCAAATTGAAAAAAGAATTTGAGAGAGTAATAGAAAGTTGTCGTTAATTGATATCCAATTAACAATTTTAAGTTTGGCAACGGATGGATTCTCTAAACTTCTGTTTAAAGTTGATTTTTCTTAAAAGTATGTTTTTTTTTTTTTACTCAAACTCATTAGTAAGATTAGCTGACGAGAGGATATATACTTGATATTCATTGAGACACTGACAACGAAAGTAAATACTTGATATTTCACGTTCCAAGGAGCCCTCTCTCTAGAATTATGTTGTCTTCCTATAATTCCTTAAGAACAAGGTATATACCCATGAAGCAAGAAACATGAGTGAAAAAGGCAAGATATCATGTTGTTGTTCACACGAAAAATGAAGCATTTCTCATATTCTTTCTTTTCTGATACTGTGTATGTAATTTAAATGACACATCGTCAAAATGCATGACTGGTTTGTCAAAAAGAGCTGTACTATTGCCAAGGACTTTCCACATACTCATGGCCTTTTATATGCTTATCCTTTCCTCTAATATCTTTAAATCTTTTATTTTGCTTATAATATAAGGAGTCTTTTGATATCTACTTAACTTTTCTAGGTCTTTTTTTCTTTTTCTTTTTCTTTTCTTTTCTTTCTTTTTTTTTCTCTCACCAAGTAGAATCGTTGTATCAGACTCTGATTTTATGAGGGAAATTAATGTAAGCAATTAATATATTTCTATCCTTTTAAAATTATATACTTCAGACTCATATTTAACTTCCTTTATTGTTATATTATACATCTTTAGATACCCAATCCATGTGTTTCTGACTACTACCCTTTCTAATAGATTATAAGCAGTCCCCTCTCAGCGCATAGACTTTTAATATACATGAATACCTTATTACAAAAAACTACAACATTTCCTTCTCTGTGTCAACTAAGGGTCTGTTTGTTTGGTCAAAAAATGCAGAAAAGACCTCAAAAGAAAACAGACGTGAAAAAAATTGTCAGTTTTCTTTACATTCGGATGTTTGGATGGTCAAAATAGAAAAAGGAAAGAGAGGGAAAAGGGGTTGATAGCTCAGTTTGGGGGAATGTTGGTTTCCTTCGTAAAAACCCTGAAATTGGCCGATTTGGGAGAAAAAGGGGGCGTCGGTACTAGGGGTGCCAAACCGTATCTGTATCCGAGGAAATATCCGTAACCGTATCCGTTAGGATACGAATATGGTTACTCAAATCTATTACCGATAGGATATGGTTGCGGATATGGTTTTGTAGTGAAATATCTGTATCCGGATCCGAAAAAATCCTTATACATATTGGTAATACTCTTACGATAGTTTCGATTCTTAGATTATGGATTTGTGGTTAATTTTGATGATCAAGATGTCTAATCTTAGCTTTTCAATCATAATGAACATATTAACGAACTCTTTTTGTATCACATGACTATATTTTTCTGAATACTATCTAGTTTTCTCATATCCTTTTTGTATCCGCATGCATATCCGTTTATATATCCGCATCTATATCCGTAACCGTATCCGATTTTAGCGGATATGGATATGAATTTTTCTTACCGATGTATATCCGTATCCGTATCCGTATCCGAGATGGGTAAGCGGATATGGATATGGTAAGTGCCATATCCGAGCCATATCCGCTCCGTTAACACCCCTAGTTGGTACACTTTCGCAGAAATCTCTCATTTTCACCCTAGGGTTTACTATCACCGCCCCTTCTCCCTCTCATTTCACCTTTCGCTCCAATTTCGGTGGTCTCCTTCTCCCACCTTCTGTTGTTTGACGCGGTCTCCTTTTCCCGCCTTCTGCTGGCCTACGACGTCGTTCTTTCTGTCGTGGATTCTAGACGCATGATCTCCACGAAACAGGTAATTTCTCGACCCGTTGCCTCTGATCTGCTAATTTTCTTCATAATCGTGGCCTTTCTTGTATATAATCTTCAAAAAATTAGAAGATCTCTCTGCCCTAATTTTGATTGATTAGGTATACGACAGTTTTTTCCCTGATTCGATTGGGAAGATGACAGATTTTTGATTGATTATTGGCAAATAAGTTCATTGTTGAGAGGATTTTCTATTTGTTGGTATTTCTTTAGTTGGTATTTCTTTAGATAGGTGTGATTTTATGGCAGTGAAAACCTTATGGTTTTGATGGTCATGTATATGAATATTGTTGATTACTTCTTCAACTTATTCCAAGTCGATTGCAGTATTATGGGACTTATTCTCTAAGCTTCATTTATTTGAATCGCCTATGTGAACTTTCTTCAAGATATTACGGGAACTCAATTGGTCTTGAGATTCACATCGATTTTATATCGACACAATAGTTTAGAATAAGGACAATTTTTTTCATCTTGGTTAGATATAATTTGATTTGCCATTATCACCCATTCCAGTAAAATGTTTGCTATACATTCCATTAATCAATCATTACCTAAATGATCCTCGTAATTTCCTAAATGACTTTGATCATTTGCCTTTAATATTGGTATCTGCTTTAATATGACGTTTGCATTTTAGATAGATGGGTGGTAAGCACACCATGGTGACCATAGTCATGCTTTCTTCTTTTTTTTCATTTGAACCAAACACTAGAAAATGAGGGAATCTATTCACCTATCAATTGTTTTTTTTCTTCAAGTTGAACCAAACTAAGAAAAATTGTGGAAAGTACTTTCACGCTATATTTGTTAGCGAAACAAACACAAGAAACAATTTCTATGAAAGTGAAGGAAACGCCATAAAGTGAAGGAAAATCATTTTTGGAATATGAAGGAAAGCAACCAAACAGGTCCTAAGGGTACTTATCACGTTTGATGATATATAGTACGCCTACTTGCCATATACAAAGAGGGCATCTCATTTGTTAAATATTCTTTGAATCATGTTGGTACATATCATAACATAAGGGCTTAACTGTTTCGATAAAAATTCTTGACTATTTTGATTTTTCCCTCATTGGTTGGACAATGATGGTTCAAATGTATTCTCCAAGGATCATTTTAAATGAAACAATATAAAAAAAATGCAAAAAGAATTTCGCTATTTATGAAGAGTTGATGAGAAACTTGATTATAAAATATCTAAAACGGTTGCTTGGAGGGTGACGACAAAGGTCCGCTCCCCTCTGGTAACATCTTTTCTGGTTCCTCTCCTTCCCATTTTTGGTCGTTCTCAGCAAGCTATGTAAATTCGTTTTTCTTTCTTATATATATATATATATGAACAGGGAATCTCACCCTGTTTTTTAAAAAAATATCTAATTTTTTTTTAATAAATGAAATATCTATACTTGATCATATAATTATAGCTGATTATTAATAAATGAATTATACTACTGCCAGCATCTACTTGTTTTTTTTTTTTTTTACACAAAAATAGGGCTAGAAGACGTATTCCGAAGATACGTATATTGGTAAAAGGGATTGAGTACATAGCCATGACACAGGAGAAGGACTCTCTCCCGCCAAGATCAAAGAGCGGTCCTTTGACGCAGAGTGAGTCAATCCTCCCAAGTCACCCTTTGCACAAGAAGACATACAAACTTAGAAAGTGGGCATATCCACTTCTATCTAACCAAAATGAACAAACTGCCAACATCTGTTGTTATCGTCCTCATCATGTTAATGAGATACATCAACCATAGATATATAGGGAACCATATATATATATCTCAAAGAGTGTTACTCATATCTAGTGTTGTGAATTTTCAGTAAACTTAAAATCACTCATCAATAACCAAACTAGTCTATTACTTGTCGTAACCCAGAAATTAATATACAGACAACTCTCTTGGAGATCATTTCATAAAAGACTTTGTAGCTTAATTAATTTTTTTCTCAGAGTGATATGCTCGTTTACAGCATAATATAGTGTTGAACTTTGCTTTTCAAGAACCCTACTGACTACTTGCAATTTAAACACAACTAAGTAAACAATAATAACTGTATGCAGTAAGTAACATTAAAAATATATACTAGGATTTCTATGAGGAATTACAATTTTTATATACGTACATGGTGCCTTTTTTAATTTTTCAAGCTTCGGGAAGAAAAAAACAGTGAGCCAAACC